ACTGGTGTCTTTGGGAGCAGACCCTCGAAATGACGTCATATAGCTGCCTGTCACAACAGGCCAGCTGAGCAGACGGTGAGCCTGTCCACTGGGGTCCGTGGACCGCATCCTGTCCCCACAGTTGCAAAGCAGCATTTGGTTTGTGTCCCGCCACGCATTCTTCAGAATAGTTGTGCAATTTCCCTCAAGCTGCTTGCCGTGCTTGACAAACTTTATTCGTAACTGGGTGAAAGGAGCCTACTTTTCTGTGCTAGTGGAAGGCACCAGTTCCAGTCCACAAACTCTTTATCTTGTGAAGCTGCCAAAGAATTGAGCTTTAAAAAACCAAAACAAGACTTTCTGTCACTGAAAAGGGGCTCCTTGTCACCTGTGGTACAAAGTACAGACTCCGAAGATGGATTCTGGAGTCAGGGAGTCACCCCCTCAGCCACTTGCTGGTAAGTGACCAAACCTCTCTGTGTATCATTTTATACTTGGTGAAGTGTGGATCAGGGAACAGCTTCTTTGCTGTTCTCTGCCAGGCCTCACGGCACTAAGGCTGGCCGCATGATTGTTCACAGGCAAGGATAACCCTGCATTTCTGACCCATCCTCTCTCCACCTCCTGTGTACTGGGAATACAGGCATCTGCTATCCTGCCCTGTGTACGTGTTGCTAAAGATAAAACCCAGGGCTTCTTTCATACCTTATCAACAGAGCTACATCCCCAGACCTAGTCAAGGGTCCAGTGAATTAAATTTCTAAAGTATAAGTAAATGGAGTTCTATGTGAGGACTTATGGAAATGAGAAACAACCGTAGGAGTTTAAAATGACGGAGTCTCTCAGAAGACTGCAGTTCTGCAAGGGCGGGATGCACCTAAAGCATATGTTACTGACAACCAGGTCATTATGCATCTGTTCAGTTGTCTGCTTATCAGGGGGATCTGGAGACATGCCATGAGCTGTGAGTCAATTTAAGAGTGGGTCCCTGCTTAGGGGAGGCACCACTCCAGGGCTCTGTAAATCATTGGGACTCTGCTGTCAAGCATTTCTTGTGCAAATAAGATAACGTATGCTTCCAAAAAATGTCAGTTCTCTGTTTACAGTTCCTCTTGGGAGTGGAGGGGCCATTTGTTTGCCTAAATAAGACCTGCACAATGACAGCACCGGTTGGAATGCCAGCGTGGATAGGGGAAAGGTCACAAAGCCCTACCCTTGGATGAAGGGCTCCAGGCCATGAACAGCTGCAAAGAGAGGAGAATCAGTCTTCTCAGGGGGAGCCCCTTGGTAGGTTGTTCAATTCCGAGTGGTCAGCCTCAAACACACACTTACAGGAGCAACACTAAACAGACTCAGCAGGTTATGTGGATCTGTATGTGTCTGTGTGTCTCTCTGTGTGTCTATGTGTGTGTGTGTGTGTGTGTCTATGTGTGTGTGTCTGTGTGTGTCTATATGTGTATGTGTCTCTGTGTCTGTGTGTCTATGTTGGTGTGTCTGTGTGTATGTCTGTGTCTGTGTGTCTCTCTGTGTGTCTATGTGTGTGTGTCTATGTGTGGTGTGTCTCTGTGTCTGTGTGTGTCTATATGTGTATGTGTCTCTGTGTCTGTGTGTCTATGTTGGTGTGTCTGTGTGTATGTCTGTGTGTATATGTCTGTGTGTGTCTATGTGTGGTGGGTCTCTGTGTCTGTGTGTGTCTATATGTGGTGGGTCTCTGTGTCTGTGTGTGTCTATGTGTGGTGGGTCTCTGTGTCTGTGTGTGTCTATGTGTGGTGGGTCTCTGTGTCTGTGTGTGTCTATATGTGGTGGGTCTCTGTGTCTGTGTGTGTCTATGTGTGGTGGGTCTCTGTGTCTGTGTGTGTCTATATGTGGTGGGTCTGTGTGTCTATATGTGTATGTGTCTCTGTGTCTGTGTGTCTATGTTGGTGTGTCTGTGTGTATATGTCTGTGTGTGTCTATGTGTGGTGTGTCTCTGTGTCTGTGTGTCTATGTTGGTGTGTCTCTGTATATGTCTATGTGTGTGTCTCTATGTCTGTGTGTGTGTCTCTCTGTGTGTGTAAACAATAAATAAAGATCATGAGTTTGAGAGGGAGTGGGGGGAATGAACACAGGAGGAGCTGGAAGAGAAAGAGGGAGGTATAGAAATTATGTATTCAAGAATAAAATTCTCCAAAAAAAAAGTTTTAAAAGCTTAAACTATTGACTGATGGTAATGTAGAAGGTCCTTCTGTATATGTATTGCTTTTATTGGTTAATTAATAAAGCTGCTTTGGCCTATAGCAGGGCAGAATGTAGACAGACTGAAAGAGATAGAGAGAGAGGAGGTGGAGTTAAACAGACGCCATGTAGCTGTGGAAGGAGACAGACACCCGGGAACCTTACCAGTAAATCACAAGCCTTGTGCTTAAAATACAAAGTAATAGAAATGGGTTAATTTAAGATGTAAGAGTTAGCTAGGAATACACTTAAGCTACTGGCCAAACAGTGCTGTAATTGATACAGTTTCTGTGAGATTATTCAGGTCTGAGCAGCTGCGAAATAAATGAGCAGTCTCTGCCCACACAGTGGGGATTGGTGGTTCCTGCCTTTTATCTTGGCAATTGGGAGGCAGAGGCAGGTGAATCTCTGAGTTTTAGGCCAGCCTGGTCTACAGAGTGAGTTCCAGGACAGCCAGGGCTACACAGTGAAGCCCTGTCTTGAAAAACTAAAAGAGACGGGGGTGGGGCACTGGAGGTTTAGCTTAAATATTCGTCTACCATAAGTGAAGTCTCGGATACGTGGTGGCTCATGCCCAGACTCCCCAGAGGTGAAGACAAGAGGATCGGTAGTTCATGGAGTTCATGGTCATTCTGTTACCAAGGAGGTCAGAGGCCAAACTGGGATAGTTAAGACCCTGCCTCTAATCAAACAAACACAAAAGACAAACAAACAAAAACTGAGAATGAAAAAAAAAATGATCAAAGAAATATACCAAGATACTATCTCAGACCAAAAGAAGATGGTCTTTTATGGCAACAAATGCTGACATTTCAACCAGCGAGATAGCAGGCAAAGGCACCTGATGCCGGCGCCTGAGGTTGACCCCTGGAATCCGTAGCAAACGTCACCGATGTCCACAAGAGTAGGAAGATGAGAGAGAACATCTTTAATGTCAAACACCAAACAGATTGAACTGTAAAAGCTCAGGGATAGCCCCTCCCCCAGTGATGCATTTCCTCCAGCAAAGCTGCACCACCCATGCCCACTTCTCCATAACTTCCCCAAACAGCACCACCAGCTGGGGACATTTCCCACCCAACCACCACAGATAGGAAACCAAGAGACTTTCATAGTAACGAATCTGATTAATGATATTAACCTTTGTCAATGGATCTCTGTAACGAAACATAAAGAAATATTTCCTGTTTTCTCTAAAACAGTGGATTCCAATAACATTCCAGCTGCCAATTTACTTCCAGTCAGTCAGGGGAGTCCTTGCTTAACACACATGAAGCCCCTTGTCCATCCCGGCCGCGTCAAATCAGATGCCCTGTGGTGGCTCATGCCTGTGATTTTCCCAGGATTCAGTAGGTGGAGGCAGGAGGATCAGAAGTTCCAAGTCATCCTGGGCTCTGCAGTCAGTTCCGCGCCAGCCTAGGCTATGTGAGGCCCCATCACAAAGTGAAAATAGAAATAATGTAAGTCATTTTATGAGACGTCTCCTCATGTGGGTGTGCTGGCTGGCCCACACCTCTAATCCTTGAACTTGGGAACTGGAAGGCAGAAGCCAGAGAATGGAGAGTTCAAGCTCTGCTTAAGGAGATGGAGGCTGGCCTAAGTCACAGGAGACCTACTCAATTCTGTGGTTAAAAGCCTGAGATCCCTGCACTTTGGGAGGAAGTCTAGCTGGGGTGACTGACTTGTGCAAGGTTCCCTGGATATCCAAAAGCAGTTAAGACTGGAAACTTGTCTTTGAAGCCGTCATTTCACAGTCACCCCATCTGCCATAACACCTGTAAGAGTTTCCTGTGAAGCGGCTGGTGATACTACATTTTCAGTGGGTAAAGGCGCTTGCTGCCAAGCCTGAAGAGCGACCTCAGCTGGATTCCTAAGCCCCATGTGATGGGATGGGAGGCAGTTGTGTTCTGAGCACACACACACACACACACACACACACTTAGTTTATTATTTGTTTATAGTCAGGGTCTTCTAAGGGACAGGTTTTGAACCTGCCTCCATGCTTGGGTTCTACGTGGTGCTGGGATCAAACCCAGGGCTCTGTGTGTGTTTATACACTTTACTATCGGAGCTACAGCTCCAACGGGCGATTCACTTTGAATTGGAAAGCGAAGTGTAAATAGGAGTATCAAATTTGTGTTGGTGATTGCACTGACCGCATTTAAGTCGTACAGGTGCAGTTCACGGGCACAAGCGAGCAAGACTTTGCGAGCTCACCTATCCTTTACATCCAGGAAGCTATGGGGAAACTGCAGTGACAACAGCTGGGGAAGACGCTCTGCAAAGACGCTCTGCGCCATCCTGTAGAGAGGAGAAGGCAAGACCCTGTCTACGCTACCGGAACATATCTTTTGATAACCAGAATTGGAAAATAAAATCAACTGGGGCAGAATGAATGTGTACGGAGGGACTACGATGGGGAGCGGGCTTATCTGAGATAAAAAAATTATATATAAATCAAAAACCACAACCAAATAAAGCCCATGTCTTCTCCAGAGCCCTGGTAGTTTGAAGAATTCAGGGAGTGGCAGCCAGTACCGGTTCCCCACTCTTTCCCCACCCGCCACCTCATCCCGGGCTGCTCCCCGACTTCCTTTCCCTTCTTTCAGCTTTCAGACTTCTCTGCCCGAAGGGACGCACAGGCTAGAGCAGGCTCTCTGGGCTCATCCATCAGCAGGAGAGGAGGGGCAGAAGGAGGAGTTTCTAGGCGGCCGAGCCCCCGCGGCCCGCGGCGCCCTTCCCCCTATGCGCTGATTGCTGTGGCTGCGCGCCCGACCCCGCCCGCGCGTGTGCGCGGCCGAGCGAGGGCGCCGCAAGGGCCTGATGGGGGTGAGCCAGGGTTTCGGGGACGCTGAGCGCCACTTTCCTCCTCCCTGGCAGTGAGAGAGAGGGGGACGAGGGGGAAGCGGGCTGCTGTCCTGCCAGGCCACTTTCGCTGCGCTATTCCGCGAGCTCCCGGCAGGAGGTGAAAGTCCCCGGCGGGGTCCGGATGGCGCAGTTGAGCTGCGCCTGCTGAACTCGCGGCCGCCTGCGCACGCAGGGCACGGGGACTCGTCTCGGCTGCTCCCCCACTTCGCGGCGGACGATCGGTTCCCGGACACGCAGCCGACGAGGTACGTGCGGGCTCTGCGCCTGGTTCCCTGCTGTGCAGTCTGTGCGCTGTTGCTTCTAGGGATTGCTCCGGCCACCCAGGACCTCGAGCTCGGGACCTGGCTTTGATCCGGCCGGGTTGACGCTGAGCGGAAAAGGGATCCGCGGCGGTCCCGAGTGGGCAGCGCCGGGGAGGAGCTCCCCACCGCCGCCTTCGCTATTTCTCTCCGCGGTTTCCTAGTCCAGTGCGGGGCTTACAGGCCACTGCCCTCCCGGCGCGTGACAGCGTGGGTGGGCACTCGACCGTGATGGATAGCAGAGGCCGCGGTCGCAGGACACGCGCGCCCAAGCCAGCCCCGGGTCCCTGCCGGCCGCGCCCTGACGCGGGGAGGACGCCCGGGTTAACCCAGCCTCGCTCCCGTTGATGTTAGAGGTTCTCTCGGTGTGTGAACTTGGTTGGCACAAACTCGGGACTCTTGGATGTTGCTAGAAGAATCGGCTTGCAGAGTTGCGCTTATTAGGGCATTTGTTCCACTTTATGGCACCCGGAGAGAAGTGCAGACAGCCTGCGTGCCAAGCCTGAACTACCTCGGCAGAGTAGAACCTGGCGGCTTAGATGTGGGTGCCAACAGTCGCCCCACTCGCTAGCTAAGGGCAGAGGGGACCGGGTCCTGCAGGGTGGCTTTGAGGCTGCAGGAGTGCACAGATGTTCAGGACGAGGACCGCGCAGAGCGGTGCACAGGTGTTAGCGCCGCGTGCTGCGCCCTGCGGTGAGGGATCCAGCGAGTGACAGATGGAGATGGGGAATCAGGCGTTTTAAAGTTTCTTCTTCCTTCGCAGAACTGAAAGGCTTGATAGAAGTTTCCAACATACAAAACCCAAACCAAAACAAAAAACACACCATATCGTGATCCTTTAATATCCTTGGAATGGTCGTTTAGACCGTAGTTGGCTACTTCAGGGAGAACTCAGCTGGTTCTTTTGGGGTAATAAAACGGGAGTGTATGGGTTCACTATTGTGTGCTCCATAATGTCTCCAAGGCAGCAGTCAGGCTTAAGTACCACACCAACTCTGGTTAAAATCTTGTGATTTTAGTAGACCCATTTTACAGTTCGCGTGCCAGACTGTAGGCGCTAGAGGCCAAGTCACTTGCCCAAGGGGATATAACAGCTTTCTGTTAGTTTTAATCCAAGAGCTGCCCTGGTCCTGGCGGGAAGCAGCAAGCGGCAGTAAGTCTTTGGCCCTCTGTCTTGCTTAGCTTCCTGTTTGAGTTGAATACATCTTTTGAAATACTAATTATCTGTGATTAATTTAGGTGATCATACACGACCTTTGCAGGGGCCAAAGCCCAGCTCCCCTGAGCCTGGCTCTAGATAATTATAAATAGAACCCCGACTCGTGTTAATCCTTGCTTTTATTAATCTACCATACGTTGTTGATCAAGGCCACTAGGCTTCCTTAGGAAGCAGCTTGAGGTTGGCGCAGGAGGTAGGGAAATAATTCTTACCCCCTGAAGGGCCATTAAGGAGGAGTTGATTTCATGCAATTGTGTCAGCTAGAGGATGTTGCTCTTGTTTCTTGATGTTCCCCGCTTTTGGCTTGGATTCTGCATTGTTTAGCATTTCAAGGCTTCAGCACATTTTTTTACTCTTGGCATTGCTGTTAACTTTAAAATTTCTATTGTGATGGAATATGACCACCCCACATCAGCTTTGCTTAGCTATTGGGTAAGAGATATACATTAAAAAAAGATAAAGTCATCAACAGTGTTTTGAACCCCAGCACTTCAAAGGCCAATCCCCTGGGAAATTCATTGTTCTTTTTAACATTGGCCAGTAGAGGGAGCGTAGCGTACTTACTGATGTCCTGCAGGCACCTAAACTTGCTTTACTGTATGTACTATATATTTCAGAAATGGAAAATGTTGTAGCTTTATCTAGCAAAATAACTAAGCTGCTTTCTGTGGAGGGATGGGTTTAATTTAAACTGGTTAAAAGCAGGATGACCCTGAGGTCTGGGCTTGAATGTTAAATGTGTTTACAGTGGCTTGTAGGGTCTCTCTCTCTCTCTTTTTTTCTTCTAGTTTGCTTTCCTTGAGATGTGTGCCTGTAAAATTTTGTGTTGTTTGAATAATATTTCAGGTTGTTTAGGAGAACTGGCAACCCAAAGAGATCCATTTGTGAATCCTTTCGTAGTGACCCCTATTTGTCTCATGTATAAAACTGCATAAATGAACTTCTTGGGGAGGCTGATAAATTCAGTACCGTCTTCATTATCTTTCATTATCACCTTCCAAATTCGAGATAGTAAGAGTGACCTCATTATCCCATGTTCCTTTAACATAGCTGTGTATTCTCTAGATACGTTTGTGTCAATACACGTTGGGTTCTCTGAGCAAAAGTGCTTGGGGGTGGGGGTGGGGTAAAAGGGCGCTGGATTTCATATCTGCATATACATATTGATCTCTTGGGAGAGGTGACCCAAATCCAAACATAATTTGGGTGTCATATAGACCATAAAGGTAGTTCCATACGATGTTTTTAGTGTAGTTCTATTATTACTCTGGCTACTTACACAAGATCAGTGTAAATTTTCCACTTGTGGGGGTCATGTTTGTCCTGAGAAAGTTTTGGATTTCAGAACATTTTGGATGTTGGATTTTTGGATCAGTGTCCTTTACCTGTGTGTCAGTACTGAAAAATCTTATCCTGTGTAAGTACAGATGTCTGTGGCCTGTAAATATGCTTATAAAATACCTAAGAATTAACATGCTAGTAAGTCAGTCAAACTGAGTATTTTTGATTAAGTAAAAGTTTTCCGTCTTTGTAGTTCCGTTGGCAGGTCTTGTTTTTTGTGTATCTTATTTTAAAGGTTTAACTTTATATTAGCTGTTAGGGTCAAATGGGACCTATTTTACATCACTTTAGAATTTAGCCACTTTTCTAGCTCGCAGCCTGCATTTGACACTACAGACTCGCGGTTTTCCAGGGTCTCCGTTAGTCTTCCATTCTTTGATCTACTTTACTCATCTCACAAATGTTTATCAGCCCCTCCCCCCTCTAATCAGTCCCTGTTTCCAGGCTTTGGAGTTCGGGAAATTAGAATAACGTCTTCTGATAGCCGGGGTCACAATGGTCTGAGGATGCCAAGGCTTTCTCACAGAAGAGCATACACGTGGCAAAAGTAGCTTGCTGGAAGGAAACTGTTGTCTCCTTCTTTTTTAATACTGAGAGGAATTAATATTTTCCTTTTGCATACAAACTTAATTTATAAAAATCTGCCTGCCAGCCAGGCTGTGGTAATGTACGCCTTTAATCCCAGCATCTGGGAGACAGAGGCAGGCAGAGTTTGAGGCCAGACTGGTCTACAGAGTGAGTTCCAGGACAGACAGGGCTGTTGAGAAACCCTGTCTCGAAAAAACCAAATCCAGTCAATCAATCGATCAATCAATCGATCAATCAATCAATCAATCAATCAGTCTGCCTGCCTAAAAGCCCAGGGAAGTCCTGTGGAGTCACTTCTGGCTTCTTTTAGTTCTCAAGTGGTCTTAAAATTCTACGAGTCTGTGAAAGGTGTTTTACACCTAAGGACAGACAGGTAGACTTTAGAGTGGGCAGGTGAGTGGTAATGTTACTACAGCACACACATCACCCCCGTGTTTTTGTTGTTTTGAATTAACCCTGTTCTTGACAAATCATTAAATTTCCTTTTTTGGGGTGTGTGCATGTACACATGTGCATGCACACACATTTGCCCTATGCATGTATGTGAACCTTGTGCATGCCTGGTTGTCAGAGGAGGGTGATGTATCCCCTGGAACTGGAGTTGCAGATGTTGGTGAGCCACCCTGTGTCCTTTGAGTGCAGACTATGCCTGTTGCTATGTGCCCATTGTTCCAGCACCTCTAAAAGTCATTTTAATGTGTATTTTCTATAGTCTCAGGGCTACTGGATGGAAAATGATGATGGCTACATTTATTGGTTAATGGAGGACAGCCTTTCCACCGCAGGCAGTTTTAAATAAGAATCTTAATAGCTATTTCAGCCAGTTCCTTATTTTCTTATGCTTTCAAACATTGATTTTTTTTCTCACATTCAAAAACCTTAACTGTTTTTTGAAGTTTACATGTCTGGTTAGGTTCATGTTCTTAGAGGTCTTTAACTCAAAAGTAATTTTTCACTTCCTCAGAAGTGTGGACTGTTGGGAATATGAAAACCAGCCTAGGTTATGTGGAAACATTTATTGTTACTATTGTGATTGTTTTGTTGAAGAGCTGGGGTTTGCGGCCTTATGCATTTGAGACCCCACCCCCAAATAAGGAACACCAGTGTAGTGATATTTTATTTGTGATTTAACAAATAAAGCTTGCCTGAAGATCAGAGTGTAGAGCTAAGCCAGTAGAAGCTGGGCAGTGGTGGTGCATGGCTTTAATCCCAGCACTAGGGAGGTGGAGACAGGAGTGACATGGCTGGACAGAGAGAGGACTAGAAGGCAGGAGGAGTCTGAGGAGGAGACAGTCTGAGGACAGGATCTCCCATTTGGTCGAGCATTGGGAGAGGTAAGAACTCCCTGGACCACTCTGCTTCTCTGATCCTCCAGCATTGACTCATATATCTGACTCGGGGTTTTTAGTATTAAGACCGACTAGAATTTGAGCAACACATCAATGAGTGACATTCAACGAGGCGTCTGTGTCAGTGGAAGCAAGCCCAGTGATGACAGGAAGTTCTGGTTTCCTTGTCTTCCAACCTCACGTGTGAAATAACACCGCTTCTTTGTAGCATTTTGTCAAAACAAACTGTTGTTAACCTGTTCAGTTTCTAGTCCGGATGACATAAACCAACCACCTAGAGAAACTGTACAGAAAGAATCTGGGTCCATGTCCTGGGCCCTGTCTATCTCTAGATGTCTTGTCTTTATAGTGCTGAAATCACAGTTTACTTGTTAAGTGACTTACTTGGACTCAGCATGGATCTCCAAGCATGCTCCCCCTCCACCTTAGGGACCAGTTATTTGGATCTC